CTTGACAGGAAGTGAAGTCACATCTCCTGAAGAGAAACAATTAAGTTTCACATGTGTTATACAATAACATGATCTGAAGTGAAATTATGTTATTGCTACTAAATGTGATTTAGCTGTACACTATTGTTAAAAACACTTGTGTGTGTTAACCATATCATGAGTGAACCATGAGTAAACACACACGTGTTGTAAAACAATAGTCTACCACTGAGTCACATACGATAGAGTCACATCGGCTCTGATACTGCCTTTCTTGGCCGGATCAGGTATCGGTAAGAAAAGAGGCCGATCCAAATCCGATATTGTGCATATACAGTTCTATTCTGTTCTATTGTTTAGCCCCACAAAAGGCACAACTTTCTAAAGTACCATAAAGTTTTCATGCACTATTTTTTAAGTGTTCAGAAGCCATTTATAGTATGATGTGAGGTAGAAATTAATATTTAGGTCGTTAAGTTCAAGTTCACGTAACTTTTCTGTTGTCTGTGTCTGTCAGTTATTCTCCATTCAGTGTTCAAACAGCACGTCGAGTTCGGTTACGACAGTCAACACGATGACACTCTCAACAAGATGATTCAATGTTACAATTATTATACTTGATCTGTAGATAAAGGTTTTGCATAAAACAACTTTATCATGCTGAACTGTATTGTTGTACCTTAATCATGTTACTTTCTACCGGGTGTCTCTTAGATCACAAAACTAGAGTAGAGTCACCACACTATAATTGTTCTTCATTTGCAAAGTAACTGATATTTAAAACTGTTAAAAGAAAATGCTGAACAAACTATTGCATAGGTAGATAATGTATAGGCAAGGCAAGTTTATTTATATAGCACATTTCATACACGATGGCAATTCAAAGTGCTTTACATAGAAGAAATTAAAATAATCAAAAGAAATCAGAATAATTAAAACAGTTTAGAATAAAAAATAAGAAATAATGAAAAATAAAAAAAAATATGATAGAAATAAAATACAGTAAATTAAAACCATTTAGAATAAAATGAAGTACAGTAACAGTCGGACGAACAGTGGCACAGTGCTCATTCAGTAAATGCACAGCTAAACAGATGTGTTTTGAGTCTTGATTTGAATGTGACTACTGTAGGAGCACACCTGATCTCTTCTGGAAGCTAATAATATAATAATATAATAATAGCTAAAAGCAGACTCTCCATGCTTAGAGTGAACCCTTGGTATTTCTAGCTGATGTGATCCTAGTGATCTGAGCGATCTGTTGGGTTTATATTCAGTGAGCATATCTGCAATATATTGAGATCCTAACCCATTAAATGATTTATATACCAGTAATAATACTTTAAAATCAATCCTAAATGTAACTGGCAGCCAGTGTAAAGACCTGAGGACTAGTGTGATGTGTTCATATTTTCTGGTCCTGCTCAGAATCCTGGCAGCAGCGTTCTGTATGAGCTGCAACTGTCTTATGGTCTTTTTAGGAAGGCCAGTGAGGAGGCCATTACAGTAATCCACCCTGCTGGTGATGAAAGCATGCACAAGTTTCTCTAAGTCTTGACTGGAAACAAAGCATCTAATTCTTGAAATATTTTTCAGATGATAGTATGCTGATTTAGTTATTGCTTTGACATGACTATTGAAACTAAGGTCTGACTCTAGTGACACACCAAGATTCCTGACTTGATTTTTAGTTGTTAGACCCCTAGCGTCAAGGTATGCATTCACCTTGAGAACTTCATCTTTGTTTCCAAACGCAATAACTTCAGTTTTGTCTTTGTTTAACTGCAGAAAGTTTTGACACATCCAACCGTTTACTTCATCAATGCATTGGCACAGGGAGTCAATGGGGCTATAGTCGTTTGGTGATAGGGCTAAGTAGAGCTGTGTGTCGTCTGCAAAGCTGTGGTAAGCGATTTGGTTCTTTTTCATTATTTGGCTCATTGGGAGCATATACAGGTTGAATAGGAGTGGCGCAAGAATCGAGCCCTGAGGGACTCCGCAAGTCATGGATGTCCACTCAGACTTATGTTCTCCCATAGTCACAAAATAACCTCTCCCTTCTAAGTATGACCTGAACCATTTTAGGACTATCCCAGAAAGCCCCACCCAGTTTTCCAGCCTGTCAAGAAGTATGTCGTGATCAACAGTGTCAAATGCAGCACTGAGGTCGAGTAGTACCAACACGGATAATTTGCCTGTATCAGTATTTAAGCGAATATCGTTTATTATCTTTATGAGCGCTGTCTCAGTGCTGTGATGCGATCGGAAACCAGATTGAAAATTGTCAAAGTATCCATTTGAGCTTAAGAATTTGTTCAGCTGATTGAAGACAACCTTTTCAATGATCTTGCCTATGAAAGGAAGATTTGAGATCGGTCTATAATTGCTCAAGATGGTCTTATCCAGATTGCTCTTTTTCAGGAGGGGCTTGACAACTCAGAGTCAGAGTCAGAGTATCTTTATTTGTCTCCCACCGGAGAAATTAGTCTTTGGATCAAGAGAAATTGCTGCATGAGGATTACGACAAGACAAAAACACAGAAAACAGTTCAATACAAATAAATACATAAAAAAAAGCTTTGTGGCTTCTCAGAGACCTGTGCAAAAAGAGCAAATCACCAGTTGCAAATTGTACATAATATTTACACTGATAACCATACATTAATAAATACAAAATCACATATACATCACTGGTCATTTATGAGCTTAATTGAAAGAGGTATAAATGAGTGCTTGTACCTAATATATTTACACATAGGAACCCTATATCTCTTTCCCGAGGTCAGTAACTCAAACTCTAAAAACAGTGCATGATTAGTGTCGGATATAATTTTTTTAGCTTGCCTAATTGTCGCCTGGTCAAAAAGCTCCTGCGGGTTAAGGGGTGGTCTTGTACCCATAATTTTGCCTGCTGTCTTAACCAAGTTAAAAAGCTGAGTTTTTGATTTCACTGACAGATTTCCAAACCAGCTAGTGATACCATATCTTAGCACGGACTCTATTGTTGCTCTGTAAAAGATCAGCATAATATTTTTACCGACCCCAAACACTCTCAATCTACGCAGGAAGTAGAGGCGCTGATGGATTCTGGCACATACATTTGTAATCTGAGTGCGCCAACTCAGATCGTTATCAATATGCACTCCTAAATATTTAAAAGATGTCACCTGCCTGATATCATGACCATGAATGGCCACAGGACTCTGGTCCCCCACTGATTTGGGGTCAACCAACATTTCCACAGTTTAACTGCAGTTTTCAGGGAGTTCGGAAAACTCCCAGAGTGAAGTGAGGCATTTACCACTTCTAGGAGATCTGCTTCTAAACAGTTTAACACACTTTTGAAAAAAGATGTGGGAAGGGTGTCAAGGGCGCAGGTGGATGTTTTAAGGTGCTGTACGGTTTCTTCCAAAATTGTGCCATTGATTTCTTCAAAAACAGACATAGTAACTACAGATTGTGGTCTGATCTGACTGACCCCAGATCAACTCAAGGATGTGCTGATCATCTTTCTGATATTATTAATTTTCTCAGAAAAGAAAGAAGAAAACTCACTGCACTTGCTGTCTGAGATCATTTCTATGGGAATCTGGCTCGGGGGGTTTGTCAGTCTCTCTACAGTAGCAAAAAGAGTGCGTGTGTTGTTTATATTGCTGTTTATAATATTTGAGATGAAAGTCTGTCTGGCTTTGCCTTGTTCCCTATTAAAAGCATGGATGCTGTCTTTGTAGATGTTATAATGGACTACAAGTTTTGTCTTCCGCCACATGCGCTCTGCTTTTCTGCATTGTCTTTTCATATTTTGCACTGCTGTTGAGTTTCTCCAAGGTGCTTTTTGTCTGCCACTATTCTTCCTGACTTTCACAGGAGCAATATCATCAATTACACTCTTAACTTTTGAGTTAAAAGAATCAAGGAGAAAATCAACAGAGTCAGCAGATATGCTTGGTTTTAAAGATATAGCCTTCATAAATAGCACATCAGTGTTTTCATTTAAGCATCTCTTCTTGACAGACACAGCTCTAGCTTCAATGGCAGGAGAGATCAATATATCAAAGAAAATACAGAAATGGTCAGACAGTGCTACATCCTTAATAACAATCGATGAGATGTTTAAACCCGTAGTGATAAGTAAATCTAGAGTGTGTCCACGATTGTGTGTGGGACCATGTACATGCTGTGTCAGATCAAAAGTTTTTAAAACAGTTTTGATTTCTTTTGCCATATTGTTTTCTGCATTATCTATGTGAATGTTAAAATCTCCAGCAATGGCAAAACAGTCAAACTCAGAGGCAATTGTTGATAACGGTTCTGTAAAGTCCTCAGCAAAGGCTGGAGAGTATTTTGGAGGCCTGTAAACAATAAGTAAAATACGTGGAGCACCTTTTAACACAATACCCAGATATTCGAAAGAGGGGTAATTCCCAAATGATATTTGCTTACATTGATAAACATCTTTAAAAAGAGCAGCTAAGCCGCCACCTCTCTTACCCGCTCTGCAGACGCTCATATAAGTAAAGTTAGGAGGGGATGTTTCGTTTAAGACCGTTGCACTGCAGCTGTCTTCTAGCCAAGTTTCAGTTAGAAACATAAAGTCCAAGTTGTATGTGGTTATTAAGTCGCTGACTAGAAGTGATTTATTTTTAATGGAGCGGATGTTTAAAAGTGCTAACTTTATAGTCTTAGGCTGCGTTCCAAACCGCATACTTCCCTACTATTTAGTATGGAAAAAAGAGTAGGCGAGCAAAAAAGAATGAATGAATCCAAAAGAGTAGGCGAGAATTACCTGGGTGACGTAGTAATTGTCGCGAGATTCGGACTTAAGTGCGTTCCAATATGCCTACTTTCCTACTATATAGTAGGCGAAAACAGTACGTGAAGGAAGCAGTACGTTCGAAACATCAGTTTTCATAAAAAGAGTAGGCGAGAAGTTCCCGGATGGCTTACTGCTTCCGCCCAGATTTTTGAGTGCTTTTCCACGGCTACTCATGATACTCATCTATCCCAGGAGGCCACGCGAGAGGATACAATATCAACATCGCGGAGATAAGCGACGCGGGGGGTTTCAAATGTGAGTAAATACGGTTCCTTGTGTTTAAATCGTATGTGTTAAACTACTATAGAGTAAACGTTTTAACTGTTGAATGTCTAAAGGAGTTAGACAGTATAGTATAGTTGTGATTTTGCTTTTATTATGTATTGATAACAGGGGAGCGTAAAGTTACGTTTCCAACGTGTATTTACATACATCTTAAATACGCTTATTTAAAATGTCTATTTACATCAGGAAGGAAAATATTGTATAAGTATTGCAGGTGAGCACATCCCAACATGAAAAATAGCAACAAGACTGTTGTCAACACTGCTTACATTAGACAAATTATGTGCTGTGAATAAAAACATCTATAAAGTAACTAAACATGATATATATTTAATTTGTCCCTTATTGGTGTTGATATATTGAGGAACATTTAAGTTGGATTAAAACTGAGTTAACACATCAACCTCAACTTGTAAATGCAGTGTTGAGCTCGTAATGTGAATCTTGTCTACAGGGACAGGAGAACACGCGTGTGTTTATCCGGTGGAGAGAGGCTCATGATGCTGAATGCTGTCATCAATGAATGGGAACCGCTGTGTTGAGTCGGCAGTAGGGTTTGGGGTTCAGTGCCTGTAAATACATGCTTGTAGTTTGAATAAAGCTGTTTCATGTGTTGACTTGTATATGCATTTGTTTATTGTGATGGTTACTTTTATTTGTTCTTTTACTCATTTATTCATGTTTCTTATTGTTGTCAGTATATAAAATGTAATTAATTTATGCATTAATTCATCGATTGACTGACAATTGAGATGTTTCACTGCATTTAGCAATATAAATGAATTCATGCATTACTGTCATATTACAAAACAAATTACATTTTGCTTGTTTTATTAAATTATATTTTTAGTATATAAAAAGTTATATAAGTATTGGTCAGCATTTAATTTTATTATTTTGTTTAAGTTTTGGGGTGGGCTAACAATGAAATTCATTCTGAGGTAATATTAATTTTTAAGCAGTGATACTTACATTTTTTGAGTATAAAATCAACAGTTTTCTCCAAAAGAGATCTTCAAGCAGCTGCCCGTCTCCTTTGTGCAGACATTACAAACGCTGTTCTAGGTTGTGCTGTCAAGTTACTGATGTTATGAAGTGTTAGAGCACCTGTCGCTCATATAATTTAAACTTATTATATGCAAGATCATGGAAAGATACTATAGTTTATGTAACAATCATAGTGACAAAACAGAAAATATAAAGATCATTGGTTTGTGTACATCATAATATGACATAAAATTATATTTATACACAGGAAATAAGAACAATAAAAAAGGCTAAATATCTTCATTATAGTTCTTTATAATACATAAAAAAAGTTGTTGTTATATCTGAGGGATGAAACGAGGTAAATTCATGAAGAAAAAGAGGAAAACTTAAAGGAGAAACTTTTTGGGTATAAAATAAAGAAATTAACAACATAATCAAGAGATGATGATTTTGGGGTTTCTTAATAAAAAAAAATATCGTTAGAATAACACTGTTGGTCACATTAGTAGGGATTAAAATATAACAACTTAAATCAACCCTAAATGTATTCACAAAATAAATAGGCAGCTGTTTCTTCAACAATACCACAACAAAATGAGCAAGTTTCATCAATATCAAGATATTTATAGGTAGATTAATTAAACGTATCGTTCATATTTTTTTTTATTGCATGAAGGTGTTGCGCTTGTGATAACGCGTAGTAGGTCACATGATAACGTCAACATGGCAGATGTCCGGTTCTCATTCATACTCAACGAGATTTGGCTATAAAGTACCTACTCTTTTAGCGCTCGATGAGTAAGTACTTATTGAAATTAAGTACCTACTCATTGAGTATGCGGTTTGGAACGCAGCCTTACTTTTTGTCCCCACAGCAGTCTTAGTTTGGCGTGTAATGGACACCAGATTAGATGGGTTTGCAGTGCGACTTTTGAAGGCCTTAGATTTTCTATCATGTATTTGAACCGCTATAGAGAAGGATTCAGGCACACTGGGTTCCCGCTTGTTTTGTAAACATTTAAGAAAGTTACTGATATCAAAGCGGATACCCGACTCATATCATTTAGAGTTGGTATCAGTTGTTTTTGGTTCACCTCGAGCAGATGGAGGAGGGTGTGAGCCCTGGCGCCGTGGCAGAGGCCGAAGAGCTCTATCAGGGGGAGGAGGAGGAGGGCGAGCTGTGCCCGCAGGCTTTGGTGGTTGTGGGGCCTGCTGGGGGCTTGCAACAAAAGAGTGTGATAGTTTAGTTCCAGCATACACCCGTTTTTCCATTTTCTCTGAGAAGCACAGAAGTGGAGATGCTGGAGAGAGTGATAACGTGTCTGGTGAGAGGGGCTGTTGCTCTGGTGTTATTGGAGGCTGTAAAATGCTGTCCTGGTTTCCCTCGCTGTTTTCCAGAAAGTCGTCCTTGGGTGCTGAATCTTGGAGCAGTTCTGATTTGTCATAGTCTGACTGTGGTGAGCTCTGTGGGCAGGGCTCTGCTGAGATTGTGTCCGTGAGCAGAGGTTGTTGTGGCTGAGTGGTGTTATCATTGTCCTTGTGTGATGTGTCAGCAATATGTCCATTCAGGTGCTGAAATGAAGTCCTGTGGTCGTTCATATTGTGTCCAGGTGTGTGTGTGCCATTCAGGTTGAGTGGATTGGCACACACTGCAGAAGGATGATGGAGGGAGAAGTAGATATTGTCCTTTAGTACTAGGGGTGTCCATGGTTAACCGGTTAACCGATTAACCGTTTAAAATTCCATAACCGAGTGAAACCTTTTTGCTCGGTTAAGTGGCGTCAATACATATTTGCACAAAACGTTTGCGTTTTTTTTCTTTCTGATTGTCGATAAAAAAAATATTGTGAAATGACAGCGTTTCTATTAACGGTGTTATGGGACTAAAACATTTTTTTTTTCCTTTCGCGATAAGCTATTCCAAAAATGAATGGCAACGGACGTTGGTATATCACAGCCACCGCACTAGACATTATTATTATTTATGGAAGGAGACGTGGTGTGTCATCCAAGCATTAATGGCAGGGAAAGTCACAGAGTTTCTGTGTGTTTCTCCCTCATTTCTGCTCCGCGGTCTTGATTGTGGCATTTCTTTGAGGTTTTGTCTAGTAGGCTATTCGTTGTATCTTTTATGAATTTTAAAAAAGAACTCTGCCTCGTATTATGTCCAAAACTGTCTACTTTTGTGTTCATTCGTTTCCCCTTATTTAATCCGTTGGCCTAATTGCAAAATGAAAAATGAACGGTTGTTGTATTTTGTAAATAGCAAAGTTGAACACCAAAATGTTCATTTGAACTGTAGGCTTATACACCAAATGCTGCGCAAAAATATATAGGCTATAGACGCTTTCATCAGACGCGTTGCCATGGTGATGAGCTGGCCCAAAGTTAACTTCTGTTCTGATCGTTCATTAGTGTTTACTGGATATGGCATTGACTACAAATGCAGTGAAATTTAAGGTGATGAGCAGGTTGTTGAGCTGTGGGGTGCAACCTGACCTAGGGAGCAAACGCAATTTTTAAAAATAAAAATGTCAAGGTTTCCTATGAGGGAGACGGCGGTATTAAAATAGCCTATGTTTATCTGAGTGATAAGCGGTACAGTGTTTGTGTTTCCCATACATTTATTAGTGGCAGCCCACCACATTATCAGCGCTGACCGCCACATATTGATTTCCGTGTTTTTAACAATTTAAGATGGGAAAAGTTGTAATTGACTGCAGAGTTGTTGCGTGCAGCGCATATTCGGACGCTCTCACTCTCTCTCTCTCTCGCAAACACATTGACAGCGGACCAGTCTGTGTATTGAATGGTTAGTATCATAAACAGCGCTGCACAGATCCATCCAACATGCTGTCAATGTGGAGACCCACCTTAAAAAAAGGTTAGCAAGCATGTAAGTAGCCTAGATATGTTAACCTTATCAAACTCCGCCGTCGCGCTCGCCACAGTTTTTTAACACTGCGGTAAATCAGACACGTCGGTAGAAAAACATCTTGTTTTTCTACAATTTTTGTTCAACGGGTCTGGTAGTGTCACATTTCAGTTTGGCCAGGTAACATTTATTTTCTTTGACTGGCAAGATACCAGCTAGGTTATTTACTTGTTATGGATTGTCTCCGCAAGTCTGCCGGAAGTTAAGTTTGGGCCAGATTAATGCACATGCGCAGTACCGTTTGTTTATGTTGTCACTGCTGAAAGCGTCTATATATATAGGCTACATATCGACGAATTTGCCCCTTAAACATTTAAAATATTTGACAAATTAATATGACAAAAAAAGATTTTACTGGTTTTCTGAGGCCAAATTAGAACCTGGAAATGATATTTTCCCCCGCATGAGAAGAGCCGTAACCACAGCCTGCAGAAATGGGATGTATAAGTGATTTATATAGGCTATAATAAATGTGTCTGATAATAAAATAATATAAAATAACGAGGCATTAATTATTTATTAATAAACTATTGTTTTCTAAATCATTTTAAAACGGCTAAAAACAATTCTCCATCTCCGGATGCACATTTAGAGAGAAATTAATTAGCTACATAATAACATAGTCAGAAGATATTGGCCTTCGATTAGAATTTGTTCGTTTTAAATTGGACATGTAAAGCTTTAGCCTAGGCTAAAGCTTTACATGTCCAATTTAAAACGAACAAATTCGAATGCGGTGGCTGTTTCAGTTCTCGCGCTTCAGTTCACGGAGATCATGAAGCGCGCCTGAATGTTAAAGAACAACGTTTTTTTTTTTGTTATTGTGAGTTTACGCAAATAAATGTATTTGCGAATAATGCATTATTATTTTCTGTATGACCAGAAATGAAAGAGTATTTTAAGTTGTTTGTTTTGTGGTGGAAAATTTTAAACTGAATATTAAGCTAACCATGTTTTGACATTTGACCTCATATAACCAGCTGAGTATCTGAGACAATGTACTAAGGCATTCTGTACTTCAGATGAATGTATGTGTGTCAAACACCTGACTGTGTATAAATAACAAATATGGGAAATGGAACTAGACAGATGACTAAGTTAGAAACATTAAAACAAAGTCTCCTATACCCAGTAACAAAACAGTCTACCTATGAAGAACCAATGAAATTAATGTCATTATGGCATACCTCCATATTGTATAAAAACTGTTGTATCAGTGTTTTCGGGGGGATTCTCAATGGAATTTGTCTGAGATCCACCGGCCTTGTTTTTACTTGGGAAGTTCTCTGAGTATTGCTCGAGAACTCTCCTGGCCGTAATTAAAAGCATTGAAAGGACATTTGTTGGAGTCTGTCTGTTATTTAAGCTGCGCAGCAAGAACAAGTAAGTTAGAATTATTAGTACCTGTCAGGACGTCGACTGTAGACGCGGCAGGGTTATAGGATTAGTACCTAGCAGGTCGTCGACTGTAGACGCGCTAGGGTATAGGGTAGGTTTATAGCTCAGCAGGACGTCGACTGTAGACGCGCTGAGCTAAAAGTATAAGACTTGGCCAACTAGAGTGAGTATTATTGTAGAGTAGTCAGGTTCAGGGAAAAAATCCATTACAATTTTGGCGGGCCATCCAGGAGTCCTCGGAATCTCCCTCTGTCGGATGGACAGGGACGAGGAACCATGTAACATGCATGTCCATGCATG